TACCCCAAAAAATTTCTATATATAGATTTCAGGGCTTTTAGTTTTCATTTTTTGTGGGTTTTGTGCCGTTAGTTTTCCTATATATAAATTTTTTGGGGTATTTTCATTAAAAAAAAAGCCAACATTTCTTTGCAATAGTCGGTCAAAGTGTTTGACTAACGGAATTAGAAGAAAAAAACTAACGGCAGGGGGGTGTTTGATGTTTTCAATACTTCAGGGGGGTAAACGATACATTTATCATAGTACAGGGGTGCAAAATGAATTTTACCCTAATATTTATTTATTTACTTATTCTTAATTGTAACAAAATAAAAAACACTTATTTAATGTGAGAATAATGGGCATGAAATTCACAAAATCCATCTTCGAGTTTGGAGAAAAGCGTTTGTCGTTAAAAATTTAATTGAAGAGAGTTGGGGATCGAAATTATTATATTTATTAGGTATATTCTCCAATAATGGTGAATTTAATGTATTTTATTATTGCCATATTTCATTTATTTTCATTGAGTTTAATTTTGTGGGCTTGACTTTTGTAAAATTTGGGTTACTTAAAAAAGTACTTATTGCATTGTATACGCTTCCCCATGCCTTCGAATAAGTGAATTGGATTTTTGTCAAGTGGCCCAAATTCGAATCATATTTGTGTTATTTACGTCTGTCATATGGTTTGCAAGCTATTATACGAGAGTGTAAATTTATTCAGTGGAACTCTGCTATTACTAAAGAAAAATGAACTAGTGACTTAATATGCTACAACTTTTTAATCTACCTTCGACTATAAGTGTAATTATTTTAGATATTAAAAAAAAAAAATCAATGCTTTATTAAAAAAATATTTTATTTATATTGTAATCATCATAAACATGCATATACATTGAATATTTTCTTTGAATTTTTAAATTAACTAAAAAATTCCAATTACAAAAAATAAAATAAAAAATGAGATACTAAGTTTAACTACCACTCCACCCCCCATAGCAAAAATTCAATATTTTGTCATTTTCATTCTCTCTTTTTCCTCTTTTGTTAACTTCTCTTTATTACTCACATTTCTTTTCTTCACTATTAATAAAAAATAAAAAAGAAAGAGGGCAAAAAATAAAAGGTAGAGTTAGCTTAGCCAAGCCAAGCCGAGCCGATTTTATCATATCATATTAGCTGCCCAGGGGTATAAAAGGAAAAGCATATTGGACAAGCGACAAAGATGATGAAAGCTTATTAACGGCTAGGATCTGTTCACGGGTTAGCTTGTTAT